ATCCAATACATTACATTACATTACATCACATTACACTACATCACAAAAAAACAAGACACACACTCATACAAATTGTTCTCCCTCTGTGCACAAAAGCTAATCTGGCTGCATCAAAATGAACTCAACGATGATTAAAGCTGTACCCGCAGCCCAGCCACATGCTCGACCGGGGCGATGCGTGCAGCAGCCAAGGCAAGCAAAGAGGCATAGAGGATCTGCATTTTGACGGGGGAGTGGACAGAACTGAAGCTCTAGGACTGTCTCACTATGAGCTGGAGCCCAAGTCGTCACCAATTCTTTCAACATTGGAAAACAACCAACCAACCAACCAACCGACCGACCGACCGACCGACCGAGCGACCAACAACACATTTTGATCACGGTCAGCATTGAATATACATCCTTGCACTGTGACGCCCGTCCGGCTTTGGGGGTGCGATTCTCTGCAAAGAATGGGCCCCACCTTACAAAATCAAAGCATTTAGCAAGCGGGCAGCCTCCAATCCGGCCAACCCCAGAGCACGAAGGGCCACGATAGGGCCCTGCCAAGGGCAGTTTCTGGGCCAGGCAAGGTTATTCCCCATTTCCTAAACACAGTGCCCTTGATTGCCTGCATTCCGACATGTCCTTTCTTCTTATCTTTCCGAGCCAACCAAGCAGAACCAACGAGAACCAGCCAACACCAACCAAATGCGACCTTCCGATCCACCAACCAACAAGCCAGTGCCTGCGCCGGGCTCTCCAGGCCGGAGATTGAGTACGAGCGCATGTTTCTAGCCATGCGAAAGAAATTCACATGCCAACCATGGCAAAAGGCCTGAGTCTGCAGTCAGGACAATAACATGCCTGCTAGCAAATGATCATTTCAGCGTGAAATTTAAAGCTCCATGCTTAGAAAATTGAGGGGCCAGCCCGTGACTGTTCATGATCAGGCCCGTTTTGTGCAAATTTACAAATTCAGGGAACCCATCAACACACACACACAAACTGCTAGGCTCACGCCCCCCTTTCTAATTTAATGCCAGGCGGATCACTGTGTATCGTTTACACCTGCCTCACAAGGGCCAAGACATGCATTGCCTTTTTCCCGTGCTGGCATCTTACTCATACACCGCAGAATGCCAGGCAAAAGCAAAGAAATCACGTTCGCCTTGCAACGTTCCTGAGTGCATCCAGAAGATAGCCACAGCTGCAAACTTTGCCCAACTCTGTGAGGCTGTAGGTCCGTCTGCTGTTCCAGCAGGGCCCATCTCCAGCCAGCATGCTGCTTGCAGGTGAGACGAGCAATGCTCAGCCAAATGCTTGCCGCGAGTCATGGGCGAGTCATGGCCAGGCGTTGCCTTGGCTCTCGAATGCCCAATTTCAAGTCGTCGTTCAACTCCGGCGCAAAGCACGAGAGTCCGCTCCAGAAGCAGGTTTGCTTGGCGCAACTTGAGGCAAACCTTCAGAATCCCATTGCCATCCAAGCACCGGATGATGGCCTCACCCCCAGTCCACCGCCGAGACTTGCGCCTGCCTCAGCAAGTATTTGAGGCGCTGTTGCTTCGTTGCTTAAGCAGTGGTTGGTCATGTAACCCTGGTACTTGGCACCGGGCCGGGGGGCGATGCTGCGGGGAACAAGGCCTTGCCGAAAGGGATGCAGGGCCAAGTTGTAATGGCAACAGCTTCGACGGATCTTGCAACAACTCATGAGATGCTTGATTTTCCCCGGACCCTTCAGTAAAGCGCTGAGCCTCAACGTGCTGCACACTTCTGAGCTACCTGGCCCATCGGCTTGTGCCGTGCCGCGCTGGCCGGTCGTGAGATCCTGAGAAACACATGAGTTTGAGATGGGGTGTTCACAAGTCATGGCGTATTGATCAGGCTTCGGTGAACCAAGCAAATGCCATGTCATCGTAGCTGCGACGGAAAACTTATTTGCACGTCAGCCATTTCCAAAATCCCATGCTACAACCTTGCGCCGCATTGCCACGACTTCAGATTTGGAGCACGTGCGGTGTGTGGATCCACCTGCGTGAGGCCCGAGCTCCAGCGGAGGCAGCGGAGGTGTGTTGCGACCGCGTGGCGAGGAGTCTGCTGACGCCTGGTTCCATTGGCTTGATCTTGACACCCCAAGTCACAGGTTTTAGGTTCATGGATCTCGCCATGTGGCGGTGGCTACAAATAAACGTACCAAAGTGGCACCTTGGGAAATGGAACCACAGACCAAAACCGCGTAACCCTAGCTGTTGAATCTTGAGCCACGGCCATGTGGCTGATCGTTACGGAAGGCTACTGAGCCCAACCCCTTCCCAGGCCTTGTCCCCGCTAGTGGCTCGTGGCGGAAGCCGTCTGTGGGACTTGGGGAGGCTGGCAAGGCTCCTCTCGAAGCACCACTGGCTCCAGACTGCACAAATTTTCCTCTGTACAATACACACGGGTTTCCGGAAGGCTTGAAACACAGCCAAATACTGCACTCCAACCTCAGTTGCCAAAGGTCCCCTCCTCTCGCCCAAGGGTGGCTTGGCCTTGTGCCGTTGCGGGTTGCACGAAGTGCAACAAGTCTTGTACTCCTGCTGCCTCACTTGCGAGCCTTGCTCCTCTGAGCCAAGCGCACTACTCAATGATGGTGATTGACCTCCATGAAATGCATTGTGTTGCAACAAGGGGTTCAACAAACATGCCATCATCAAACACTGTCATGGCACTCTATGCTGGCCAACTCATGTCGCGTGTGTGTGTGTGTGTGTGTGTGTGTGTGTCTTGCGCGCGCAGCCTGAACATTCCTTTCCCAGCCTCGAAGTTTGGACATCAAGGAGCCGCTGCCCCGTGATCGACTTCGGCTTGGCCTCATGGCTACCCTACAAACCAAGCAGCAACCAACGGCCAAGTAATGTTTTCATTCTATTGGGCAGGACCAGGTGTGCTGTGCCCACGCAAGAAACTCAACAGCCCAATGCCAATGGGGTAACAAGTGCATGCGTGCCATCATCTCCTGAGCCTTCCTTGTCCGAACTGGGGCCCTGTTTCTTGCAGGTCAGTCATGATTGCTTGGGCATACTAGGTGAAACTGTGCAGGCTCACTGGGCGTGCAGCGTTCTCTCCGCGGCTGCATCTGGGTTGAGCACGCAGTGCACGAGCCCAGCCAGCGCAGTCTGCTTCAGGCCTGCGCAGGTTACCCTCTTCAGCCCCAGGCACCATGCATCGAAAAGCACGTCTCATCATCAAGCCGGCACCAACTGGCACCAGCCTTTTGCCAGTGCTCTGCGCAGCCAGTTGGTGTGCATTCGCCTCAATCCCATTCCCGCAACACAGGGGTCAGCGCTTGCCATGCCAAAGCGTGCAACCCAGCATCCCGCGAACACATTGAACAATGAAGCACAGAAACAACGCACCAAACAAGTTGTTACAAAGAAGTCACGTAAACCCAAACCCAAACCCACCAGCTACAGGCGAGAAAGCACACAGACGCACACATGCACGCACGCAGGCACGCACAAATAAACAAACAATCAACACAGAGAGACACAGACACACACACACACACAGACACAAAGACAGACACAGACACAGACACAAACACAAGCACAAGCACACCCACACACACACACACACATGCAAACGCGCACAGGACAAACAGAGACGTACAAACACGCCCACACCGGCACGCAGGCACGCACGCACACACAAATAAAAACACACAGTGTCAGTTTGTTGCTTGGCAGCCGGCAGGACAATTTGCAAGCCGTGAAACTTCATGCAATTCCATTCCGCGCCCCACCCTGTCCTCCCCGGCGGGCCAAGTCGCTGGAACGCAGCATCGACACTACCATATGCCTCCTGCACAATGCGCCGGAGTCCTAGGTGAAAGGCACTAGTTGATGCTGAGCTGTGAGAACATGATCCTGTTCCAGTGTGAGAACATGATCCTGTTCCGGAGTGCTTGCTCAGAAGCAGCTACAAGACGCAAGAGGTGAGCAACAAATGCTGTACACAAGTCGTGCTGGCAAGGTATCAGAAAAGGACGCCTAAGAGAGTGCAGAACGAAAAAGTCACAGTAAGTACAGAAACACGATGCGGAAGTTGCCTCTTTGAAGCCGCTCACGTGTTCCCGGTATTTCTCAGTGTCTGGGCGATTGGTTGGGGCTTGCGGGGCTGGGCTGCTCAATGCCTTTGCAAGTCGCACACGTGGCACTTCCGATGCTGCAACTCCACTCAGCTTCGCACTCGCAGGGCCTGAGCTCCAAATTTCCCAAACACATGCTGTGCCGTGTTGCTGGCATTGCGTAAGTCACGGACTGCCAGAAATTGCTTTTGAATTGAACCTTGGCATCAGCTCTGCCCAGGTGCTTTTGCTCAGTCGATGGTGCGTGAGACCCGCGCCCCTTCAACAAGGACCACTCGCTGAAGCTTAGGTAGCCGCTTGCCTGCAACCGCGAATTCAATGGCACGCAGACATTCACAAACAAACAAACAAACAAACAAACAAACAAACAAACACACACACACACACACAAACAAACAAACAAACAAACAAGACAAGACAAGACAAACAAACAAACAAACAAACAAACAAACAAACACGCAAACACGCAAACACACAAACACACAAACACACAAACACACACACACACACAGACACACAGACACACAGACACAAAGACACACACACACACACAGACACATACACACAGATGCGCGCATGCAATCGTCACGCCTGTCTTCCCGAGACTTCAAGGAGAAAAAGGAAGAGCATCTTCATGTCCGCCTTGCGGCGCGACAGTGTTGATATCATAAACTGTCCATTGCGCAAATTGACTTGCAGCATTCATCCCAATTTTGCTTCGCAACATCCAGCCTTGGGTGCCAGCTTGCTAAAGCCAGCCTGCATCACATGCTGGGCTGAAACTGCGAACCTGCCTGGCCGTAAAGCCTCAGGACAAACTAGCCTGCGCACAGACCTTGTGAAAAGCGTCATAACCAGTGGTCTTGGGCCTAAGTGCACGAACCCAGTGGCTACCAGAAGTATTGCCGCAAAGAGCAATGCAGCTTGGGACTGCTCAATGCGTTTTGGAAAATGGTACCACTCAGTTTGACCCACAGCCACATACGATTCTAGCTTTGCTGGTCAACAGTTGCGGTGACGTGGTTCAGCAGTCGGCGCTGTGATATTCGGAGATTACTTCAAGTACCTCTGCTGCACTTAATAGGGCAGTTGGGGTAGGGGTAAACCATGGTAAACCAATTTTCAGGAAGTCCCAGGGGGGGACGAATGTAAGCAGAAGGAAGAGCCGTTTTTTTTTTTTTTTTTTTTTTTTTGGGGGGGGGGTGCAACAACACAGCACATGGCAACAAAGCATTGGACCTACGCTAGGCGTTACAAGTGTGAACGTAGTCAGGAGCAAGCAAAACAAGGCTAAGACCTGAAATCAATCAAGGGGTCCTCCAGAACTGAATGCAACAAAAACTCGCTCGCTTGTGAAAGGAAAGCAATCAGTGCAAACGCCGCTCAATCTGTACGAAAAATCGAGCGAGTTTCACGAAAGAACACGTGATTGCTGTCGCAATGAATCTCAGCCTCCTGAATACACTGTGGGCACATGACTGAAGTGATGTTTTGGGAGCAGCCTCCTTCAAACGGACCCGGGTGCAGCCAGCTGCCCATATCAGACAAAACTGACTGAGACATTAGATTGGACCAGTAGACTGGTCAATCAATTTGCTTTCATGCGCGGGGCATGCAGCCAACAGTTCGCTCTCACCAACTCACATCAGTTGGCAGCTTTTCTTGGCTTAGTTTGAGTGCGATGCCGTCTGCAATCTGGCTTCAGCTGCAAGCCATGCACTGGCCACAGCGCATGTGCAAGGGCTGAGGCAACGACGCAGCAGGAAGCCCTTGCAGGATTCGCTCCTTAGCACATGTGATAGCAACCTCAAGCTTTTTGGAATCAACGTGCGCGTGCAAACCACAACACTTCTAAGTCAAAATGATCCTCCCAAGTGGTCGCCTGCATGCTTCAATGCAGCAAACATCGACCAACCTCTGAGACATTCCAAGGCCAACACTCGGTCCAAGAACTTTGCAAAGGCTGCCTCCACCCCTGGAATGGTGCGACATGATGCAACATCTGCTATTGCAACCTGTGCCCAAGGAAACAGCGAGACATATGCTGGCCAAGGAGTTCACCGCATGCCTCCCAGCATGGTGTCGGCAAATCGCTTCAGAGCCTTCCAGGCACTCTGTTGAGAGCGTCTCTCTATGCTCAGCTCGCACCTCCACGTCTCGGAGAATATCATCGCCGCAGAATTCGAGCAGCTTCTGGAACTCGCGCGCTGAGACCTGCGTTGGCCACACAGAATTCGTAGCTCGAAGCCAGTGTAGTTTGATCAGAACTCCTGTTTGCATGATGGGTTCCGGGCCTCACCGTCAAAGTTACGATCCAACAGCGAGAACCTGACATTACGCCCAGATTGCTCCCAAGAAGCCGGCCCGAGCAAGCTCGGCATCTCAGCTTCAGACACAGAGCGCATCACCCGCGGATCGTCACAAGGATAGCCCAGTGCCTTGACCCCTTCGACAAATGCCTTGCGGCTCACGCCTTTCCTGGCGCATGTGACTGATCATAGCTCTAAGGGTGCATCCCTGCCCTGACTATTACAACTCTGGATGTAAGACTGGCCCTTCTGCTCACAGTAAGCGTGTCTGGCATGCCCATCGCTTGGGCCCAGCGCCTTGAACACCTTCCGAAAAACCTGCCCATCGCTGGGAGAAGGGAACCGTTTGGAAAACCCTCAGAAAAATAACTGACGCGACTCGAAAAGAAGCATCAAATAATTCCGGCTTATCACTCATCACTGTGCAAGCAAAAAGTGGCGTCATCTCAAATCTATGGAGAAATACCTTGTTGCCTAACAATGGATCTGTTGCAATGGAGGGAGTTCCGAGGGTGCGAGCCGCAATCGGAAGCTGGGCCAAAACGAGCAATTGCCTCACAAAGTTGTCCTAAGGCTGCTGCTTCGCCGCTTTGGCCAAACCTCGGCTTTTGAAGGTCGGGCCGAGCAACGTACAGCTGGCACCACATCAACAGTGACACGCATGGCTGGGTGCGGCACTGTTCAAACAGCCAGCCCTGAAAGTGCTCCAAACGTCTCCTTTGATGCTGCTGTCGAAGATTGAGACTTTGCCATGCTTGCTTGAAATGCATGGACAACGCAACATGTGGCACCGATCTTGAGTATGAAGGGTAGCCCGCAATCGAAAACTAACGTGATAGACAATCAAAACCACAGGCTGCAGCTCAAGATGTAAGGTGGGCACAGTGCAAGCACCGCTGAGTGCAGGTTCAGACCTGGTTGGCTGCCCAAACAATAGGTTTGTGGCTGCGCGTCGCAGGGCTACGCCGCACGCACGGCGCTCATGTACCGCGCACCACAATAAAACCGCAGGTTTTAGTCTTTGTTTCCATTTACCCGGGTTCCATTCCGACCTTTTTTTTGACCCACACCCTTGGGGGTTCAGCTCAGGAAGTCTGCCAGGTCGATGGCGTCTCCTAGAGCCCCGGAAGCGCAAAGGACGGATGCGCACGGAACCCCCCGTCGACCCCCCGATGGCAATCACTCCCTGAGCGTCATACCATCGCAGGGGCAAAGAGTTGCGAAGACCGAAGCCTTGGCCGCAGAATCCAGGCTAAGGCAGCGATGAACTGCACATAACATTGACGTGTGTCAAAACAAAGTAGTGTTGCTCAGATTTCTGCACTGCGGGGCCACAACGATCGTGACACAGCCACATGTGCAGCCGACATCCTTTGGTGTCTGACCCGTGTGTCCTCGTCACTCTTTGCCGCCCAGTCCTGTCACTGCAAGCGTGCAGCCATCTGGCTCTGGCAACTGCTCCCCAGCCTTCAATCCTTGGCCTCGGTCACCTGCCACGCTGTAAATCCAGCTGATGAGAAGTGTATCTTAGTAAAATAGTAAACTGCTAGGGACCGGTGGCACAAGCTTCTGCAGCCTGGGGATTCCATTTTCCTCGCTGGACTCTTCTCATCACTGGCTCAGCTCTGGCTGGCGGAACCTCCGGAGCCCTGGGCGTCTCCATCCGGGCCATCTGGGCCGTCCTTCTTCAAGAGTTTGTCGAAGTGCCCGGAGACTTTGCCCTTGAGCTGCTCCAAGTTGCCGGAGACCTTGCCCTTCATCTCCTCCATTTGGCTGGTCATCTTGCCCTTGAACTCCTCCATGTGCCCGGAAACCTTGCCGTGCATCTCCTTCATCTGAGCCTTCAACGCTTCTGTGTCTACATGCGGGGCGTCATAGTCCTCCTCCTTGGCAGGGCAGTCCTTGAAGTAGAGGCCGATCTCCACGTTCTGCTCGATGAGGTGCTCTTTCCCCGGGAGGTAGTAGGTGCACGGAGGGCTGTGCTTGTAGACATACTGCGACCGCAGGCAGAACACAGGGTTGGAGGTGAACCACGAGCACGGCAAGCGCTTGGAGCAAGCAACGTAGGTGTTGGTGTCTGCGCCGTCGGACTCTCCGACAAGGCCGAACTTGGGCACGACATAGCGCAGCCTGAGATGGCCAAGGTGGTGCACTACTCCGGTCAGGCGGCGCAGTTGTCACATCATCAAGGACACTCCCGCTTCCAGAAAGCACAACTCAGGACTTTTGCGAGGTCTGGCGTTGGAACAGCTGCACTTCGTATCAATGATTTTGTAAGATGGCACAAAAGAACCTACAGAATGTCGATCATAGGCGCCAGCCTGCACAAAGTGGATATATGGGGCTAGGTAACGCCTCAATACACGGTCATCGCAGAATATTGTTTGAAGTTAGGGCCCATTTCATTGCAACGTCTCACATATCTGCTTCAAGTTGTGGGCATCCTGGTTGTGCGACTTGGTTTTTCATTCAAACCAGCATTTGCGGGCACATCCCCGCCCAGGGCACGATGTTGCGTGCTATTGCACGTCTAGCAGCAGCAGGGTGTGCAGCGCGATGTGCGCAAAGAAGGCTGCTGCACAAGCCGCGACCATCTCATCACCTTCCAGGCAGAAGTAGCCTGGCTGGCAGTTGGCCTTGAAGACGAAGCAAGCCATCATGCAGCCGCAGGGGATGCCTCCAGTGCCAATTTAGCTTGACAACTTGCACATTGCACACACAAAGGCAAAATCTACTCTTGCATAATTTTGCACCACTTGTTTCCGCGCAGCTGGCCAACCCTGCGTCCAGTGGGACAACGGCAAGTATGTGCTGCAAAGCTGCACATCAGCCACTGGGACCACCAATCAACCATGCGGTCCGTGTAGCTGCAACTCTGAATGGAGCGAAGCACGCGGTAGTGGTCGAAGAAGTAGATGTACACGTGCGACAGCGCCATGCCCAGAAACATCTGAATGTTGAAGCCGCCAGGGAAGAAGAAGATCAGGACCGCAATCATGGCGTCAAGCAGGAGGTCGGCGTAGCGAGACAGATCGAACACAAGACTGCCTAGCAAGTTCTCAGCCATGAAACCCTTCATGTTGGGTTGAGTGCGGACGATCATCATCATCAGTTTGTATGGGGCGTAGATGGTTGCCACTGGCTCGATCAAGAAAGGGATTAAGAAGGTGGCGGGGAATGCGTACGCGTACAGGTTGTTGGCGAGTGTGCGCTGCATCGCGTAGGACTCAAAGCGGTCAGAGAAGGACTGCAAGTTTTGCAGCAGGGTGCCGTCATAGGTCTTCATGTGGAGCCCCACGTTGATGCGGTACGCCACCATGTAGGTGGTGATCAAGTCAAGGGCCACGTTGAAGACGCAAGCAAAGCAGTACAGGAGCATGTAGCAAACCTCGCGGTCATCGATATAGATGAACCTGGTGCGGTCGGCCACTTCGCTGCAAACCAAATACATCAGTGCCTCAGCTGTAAATCAAGGAACTTTTCTTGACAGGCCGCTGAGTCGCTCAACCTAAAGGCATGGCATGAGAGAGCACAGTGCGCAGCTGTGAGCCAAGAAACGTTGCCCGCCACCACGACCATGGAGAAAGTCATGCCGGCCACAAACCCGGGCTCCTGTCCGTAGGAGTAGTTGAAGGTCAGCGAGAACCACGCGTAGGGCAAGTAGAAGGCCACGACCCACACTCCCAAACCCGCCAGCATGATGCACATACCTGAAGCAAACTGGACTTCGGCCAACCTCTCCAAGTCATCAAGGGACTGCGGCGCAGGTGCGGCTGGTATCAACCTCTCAATGTTATCAAGGGACTGAGGCCACTGCCCCGCCAGTGCATGGCAGAATGCTAAAACATCTCGCTTTGCCATCCGTCCAACTACCAAACGCAAGCCACAGGGCCGAGAGCCACGCGCTTGGCCTTGACCACTAGGTCCGTGTTGGCGCAGTTCTGCCACTTCACCGTCTGCGGCTCCACGCGCGAGGCGTTCATCTTCAGCGTGTTGCCATGGAACTCCACCCCACCACTGGCAACAGTGGCCTGCAAAGTCACAACGCGGCATCAACGGTTGCCCCATGTGACCGCCCAACAACTTACGACATGTTGTGTGTGCACCCTTCTCTATACTCGACATCGCCTCCACAGCTGCGTCACGAGCGGTCTCCGTCTCGAAAATTGCGTAGGCATCAGGGCAGGTCCTAGGGAGAAACAGGTCCAGATTTGAGGCTTTGAGCCACTGAATCGAGCAAAGACGTGCAGCTCAGCCAAGCATCTTGATGCTCTTCAGGATTCCGATGACATCCACCTCCTTGCATTCCTCGATGATTTCCTCGCCGGGTTGAGCCTGTGCGGCCTCTTCAAGGGCCTTCTGCTTCTCTTCCTCGGTCATCTCACCTAGGGCAAGCTTGCAGTTCCATCATGGCACCGACGCCACTCGTGCAGAAGTTTTCTGTTCGATTGTTGCGGAGCTGCCGCTAATATAGGACAAATTTCGTCAGAAGCTGTAGGTGCAGGATCAGAAACAGTCGCGGACAGTCGCACCCCCGAGTCTTGAGTGAACTTGAGTGGCAAGCAAAACAAACAAACAAACAATGCCACGCGCACGCACAAAGCCAGCATACTAGCTTACGCAGAACTGGGCCGATTTTGGCCAAGTCGCCTGTGGCGACCACTTTCTGCGCATCTGCTGCCAGTGCCGCGCGCTCCATGCGGGCAAAGAAGCCTTGCGGCTCCTGCAGGCTGGCCAAGGGACAGCGCTGTGAACAAACAAGCTGTGAAATGCGCCGCTTCCGCAATTCATTATGTTTTCTCCCAGCAGCCGTTCCACAAGAATGCACAAACGTCTGCCAAGTTAGACCCTTCCCTCATGAGCCAGTCTGCGTTTACACGTACAATGTACCGCCAACTGCCCATCCGTCGCTGGCTTCTCTCAAGGCAGTCCTCAGGTTCCTCCTCTCGCTGGGGCATGGGAAGGAGCTCCAACTCCTTCTCCACCAGCTGACTCTGCAGGAGGTCCAAGAGTTCTTCCTCATGTTCCTGGAAGTCCCAGCACACCGAGACACCCACCACTTTCTGGCCAGTCGCCTCTTGGATTCGCTCTTTCAGCTCATCCTCCACCGGTGTCGTGCCGTCCAGGAGCGGCAGGTTGCGGATGCGGGCCGCGTAGTCCTTGTGCGTGGAGTTCTGCATGTCCACCTTCTGGAAGAGCCGCAGCTGACGGATGCCGAAGAGCACGCAGCCCAGAACCGTCAGCAGGTAAACCACGACCACGAAGTCGATCTTGGTCCACATGAGCCGCTGCTGCGTCTCGAAGCCCCATGCCACCAGGATGCAATTCTGTCGTGCAGTCTTTGCCCTGCGTGTCCCCAGGATCAAGAGGGCATCATCCACAGACAGGGACAGCAGCAGCCAGCCCACGGCAATGCCCAAAGACCACACAATCAGGAAGAGCTGGAAGTTGAAGTGCAGAGTCACGCCGACACCAGCGACGCTCTCCTTCAACAGGTTGGTGTCCAAGGGGTAAAGCTCGCGACCCTCGTCATCATTGGAGGATTTAGGCATGCGCACCTTGGATCGGGAGCGGTAGTCCAAGGCTCCCTTCAGGCCATCTGCGTTGACGATGGGGCGGGTGCAAATGTCCACGATCCAAGCCACGATGAACAGAGTGACCCCGCCGAGCACAACGAACAGGGCATACCAGTAGTAGCGGTTGTCGTTGTCACAGGTGCCTTTGGCGTTCACAGAGTAGCCACTGTCGCACCTGGCGCAGGTGTCGGTGCCATCCGTTTTGCACTCAGCGCAGCCGTAGATGATGCAGGCCCGGCAAATGCCTCAAGTTCAGCAGACGAATACAAGGGCCCCCATGCAGAATCATTTGCATCTTGCAGCATTTTAAGCTTGTTTACTTGCAATCCTGCCGAGCTGCCCATCTCTTTGTCAGGAATCGGCTCAAACTTGTTCACTGCCGTGCATGCCTTGGGCGTTGCTTCCACACACTCGAAGTTGCAGTCCACACCATCTCCACGATCATCGGCATAAACCGGGCACTCCTCCCCAGCAGTGACAGTATGTGACAATGTAGTTAGGCAAAACAAAGCCGCATGAACGCCAACAAGTCATCAATGAGGATCACACTTGTTTTCTCTGAGCACGCACCACGGCCACGCGTGCGCTGTCCTTTGGGCAGGCCAGGAACTTGTCAGACTCTGAGTTCACGAGCTTCTTGTCGTTACATTTGGGTGCTGGAGCCTTAGACTTCAGCCAGAACTGCGGCTGGCGCCCGGAGAGGGCCTCCGTGGCCAGGGTCGCCTTGGCAAAATGAGCCAGCATAGGCTGAGATTCGAAATCGATCAGGTGAAATGCACATTTTGCACACTGCGTCTCACACACGCGTGTACAGAAAGACTGTCTCTTCAAGTCGGCAAAGCTCCATATTCGTTGCATCAAAGCTGACTTGAGAGAGGGCAGACCAAAAAATGACACCGTTTGCCAATGTGCCAACGCTTCCTGTTCACCCCCGGTGCTTGTAAACCAGCAACGTAGAAATGGCAAATCTAAGCAAACGGAAAACGCATGCCTCCAGGCAAGTGATGTACGGGCACGCGACGAATCAAGAACGTCGAACTGGATAAATGGCCAATCTAAACAGACTCCTGGTACAAACCTCTTCGAGGCCAGCTTTCGGGATTACCCAACCGAAACAGTGCCAAGCGGCACGTTCTGAAACTGGTGCCAGACGTGCGGCAGCCAAGGCAAAGAAGGATGCCAGGAAGATCTTCATTGGAACAGATGACGTCACAAGTGCTAGGTCCGAGGTAGTCCTGGCACTGCAGTCTATGCGATAGGCTTGAGCCAATCTGCAAGTCCATCGCAGGCAACTCTAGAAACATGCGCAGTGCAATTAGCTGATAGCTGATAGGTCTGGAATGTCTGCTAGCTGAAAGTCTATATCGACAAGCACAAGGCCTTGTGCTCGAGCTTTGGCAGCTTGCCTGAAAGCTTGGCTTTTGGGTCAAGCTTTATGCACACTCAAGGCACAACCCATATACCCTTGCAATCTGTGGCCCGGTCGGCTGCGCGACCTGCTTGGCTTCCTGGGCATGCCAAGCAGCTAGGGTGGCAAAGCTCGCAAGCAATGCGACTAATTCGTGGAATTCGACCAATCCGCCAACCTTACTGTGGACCCCTTGGCGTGCGTCTTTTGTGCTGATGTGTGGCGTTAGGGTCTGCGGAGGTTGAAGGCGAAGTCTAGACGTGTATTGGACATTGTTGGACCAGGGAATGTCCAGCATCTAACCAACCAAATCGAATGGGGGACTGGGCATTTAGAGGTGAATGAGAGTTTTTTTTCTGGGCAACTTGCACGGCATCAATGGCGCTCTAGATTTGGCTTCTTACGAGCTTTCTCTTGCAAATGCAGCGGATTTCTACGGAACATGCGCATGATCTTTTCCGCCAACTTCCTCCTTCCTTGTCGAGTTCCCATTTCTCTTCTTTCAGTGTTTTTTGATCATCGTGAGCAAAGGGTGAGGTCGGTGATTGAGGCCGATGGGCCACCGATGAGCGTCTTAAGTTGTCCCTAAACTTGACGCTTCAGCTCACGCCTCAAACGTGCCGATGAAGGCATCGAACTCCTCTGCAGTGACCTCGGCAGCTCGTGGGTCAGGGGCCATCTGGCGATCTGCGCCTTTCTGAGCATCGGTGCCCGGCCAGCGCCAGCTCTCGCACTGAGAGCCTCGCAAGATCAAACAAGAGGCCCCGGGTGGGTGTCGTGTCGCAGGTTTTTTGGCAACTATGGCCAGTTGTCAAAATGTCGCTTCCCAAGTTGCTTGGCACTAATGGTTTCCATGCGGACCGCCTCATAGCGGGCTTGTGTGTCAATTTCATTGCTGCTACAGTGCTTGGAGCAAATGTGCAACTTGCGTGGCAGGCACGCTAGCGCGCGCGGTTTTCAGCTGGAACTAGAAGACACTATCGCCTGCTGTTGATCGGATGACGCCTCTTGGAACTTTTGATGCTTGGCCCTAGAGGACGCAAGCTGTCCCTGATATTATGCCAGCTTCTTTTCAAGAATAGTGGCCATGGCTCGCTTTGTGTTCTACGGTTCTTAGCTTGGCGCCGCCATGCGGATTCGATTTGTCAACAACAAAAGCCCCCCTCAAAGTCGCAAATGCAGCGTCAATCGCAACCACCCGTGAGTGCACATAGCGCCGGCCCGGCGTACAAGGCTTGTTTTGCTGAGGGGCTACACTGAGTCTTTGCATTTTGTCACTGACATGCGAGTGATTGGCGCGGCCATGGGCACTGCTGTCCGGGAAAAACCCCGCTGTTGAAAATAGCGCCAGTGCTTCGAAGCATGTCCATTGCTGACGCCTCCGCGAGTTTCAGGAACACTTCTTTGTTTGGCAAGCGGGAGCTGCGCATTAACAGGCTCAAGTGTCGCAACGTTCAGTTGAATAGGGCTGTTCTGCCGGGATGCGCGGACATGCTGACCAAGGTCGGATCAGTGCTGGACGCTGGTCATTTTTCCCCGCCTCACAGCTTCGGGGCTTGATTTTAAGTGACGCCACAAAGCTGTGACAGAGGCTCTCGCCAGTGGCCGGGCAGCTAACAGCTGAGGCCGCTATTGATTAGGGATCAACGCTGCCTTAGTTCCATTTTGGGTTGGCTGAGTGTCTTTGCCCTCGCATCAGCCAGCTGCATGCTTGAGACCCCGCACGCAGTCGGGCGGGACTCCCTTTTTGGGCTCCATGCTAATTTGCAGCTGAACAGTCACAATTGTCTTTGCAGCGGGCCTCAAAGGCCGAGGTCAAATTACCAAAGTTCTTCACCAACGCCTGGCTCGCTCATGGGTGCCTGCTTGGCATCAAAAAGTTGACTTTTGCTCCCTTCTCTGTGCATGAGAAGCACGGGATGCCCAAGGCACTAATGACCTTCCCAACCAGTGCCTCCCGCAAGTCTTCCAGCACCTCTGGAGCAGCCACAGGACCTAAGTGCGCTTTCCCACAATAAACAAACCGTCTGTTTCAAACATTCTGAAGGGCACAGCCTGCGTGAGGGAAATCATACAGGCTCCCAATGACTCCCATCATGCCAGTCGCGAGCAAGCCAGCACACGTAACAAAACACACACAGGTGTCTTTCAAGCCTGCTCGCATCAAGCAGTGCAAAATCCACCCACATTTGACCAAACTAGGCTGCGCACTTCCATAGGTTTCCAAACGTCGCATATCTTCCACCTGGCATGGGACATGGACTGTACCTTTTCTCTCTGCGCGCATTTCTCCGAGGCTGCGGCTGATACTAGGCCATCAGAGTCACGGTCGACAAAGCGAAAGTCGGTCAGGATTTCATCCACAGGCAGGCCTCAAAGCATCGCAGCCATCTATCCTTCGTTGCTTGCTTTCCAGTTACGGCTTCATGCCTGAATTAGCTTGGACCTGTGTGGGCCTGGGACACAAGCTCGTGTGCCCGTGAGATGACAATATGGGGTCTTCTTCCAGGCCTCCTTTTGCATGGCCAATTGATGCCAATTGACATGGCCTTGGACCCTTCCCAAGCCAAGGCCTTGAAGCCGGAGCTCTCGCTCGAAAGCGTGATACGGCCTGAGCCAACTGAATGCAAAGCTTGTTGCAGGGTTTCCCTTTGTTCAGCTTCATGGGGCATGGTATGAGTCCGGGTCGAGGGCGCAAGCTGCTAGCGCTCGTTGCGCAAAACGCCAACACACCCAGAACTAGAACTGCCAGCAAAAGGCTCACTGCCTCACAATATCTCAGGGGTTGGTTCAACGAGCAGACTGATGGCCTGGACACAAAATTATCCAGCCTGACTCTTGCGCTCGAAGCTCCAATCCCCACTAGCCAGGCTCCGCACAGGCGGTCCGGCCGGCAGCGAAGACCACGCAACGCGGGCCTGGGCATGCACTCATCAAAAGACTAGAATCGTATGGAAGTATCTTTTCTTAAGGGGACCCTTTGTGGGGTGGTTTGAAGGGAAACATCGGGAAACCACAAAGGACCCCACAATTTTGGACCCTCCATTCACATTTTGGCACGACATCTCGGCAACGTGCGGCTGCGAAAACCTGTTGACAAAATCAGATCAGTGATCTTCACCAGGATCACAGCAGCGCGAGTCACATATAACACATGGTGGCCACATGGTGGCCACATGGTGGCCACCCTGTTTCCGAGCACTCACATCTCGGGACCCTGGGCTCCCCCACGAATCCGGGTCCACCACACCAAAGACAAGGTGCGACTCGGGCTGCGGCAGGTGCTGTGGGAAAGGCCTTGCAACAACGGGAGGTCCGTACACTAGGGTTTGCGACATGGCGCAACAGGTGTCACCAGATCTGTGCCTGAGTCGCTGTGACCAGGGTGTGCAGCTGCAGCCTCAGGTGCAAAAAGACCCTGATTAGCCAACTGATGGCTTCCTTCCTCCTTCATGACATGATTCTTGCTCGCTCGCTCGCTCGCTCTGTCTTTCTCTCTCCCTCTCTGCCTCTCTCTCCCTCTCTGCAATTTCCTGCTTCCTGGGCATCATGCTGCCAAGGACGAACGAAATCGGAATGTCGATGCGGCTAACTTTCCTGCTTGAACATGCAGTGAATTCATGTCGGAGTTCAGCCCGTTGCAGCTTGCTTCCGATTCGCTTCATTGCAACTCTGCGTGCTCGTGCAGGCAAGTTCTCCTCTCCATGCTCTTGTTGCCACGGGATTCGCGCAGCATGAAGCCAGGCCTGAAGAGATATGGAACCGGTCACGGCAACAATAGGGCTATTTTGAGTGCCCAGTACGGCGTTGCTGCAACAACGCCCCAGACTGCTCGGATTTGCTGCTTGCATTCAGCGCTCAGCTTCTGGCGAGGTCTTCGCAGAGTCCAGCACCAAAAGGTTCGATTCTACTCGCCAAACTGCCGAGTTTGGCCTCGGGCATGCCACCCTGCCTGACTTTGCATCGCCTTTCAGCACAGTTCCCCAGCCCCGCTCGACAGTTCAGCACCACGCGTTGCCCGAAGAGAACTGCCTCCAAATTGCAGTCAAATTGGTAACAAAGCAGGCACATGGTCACATCCTGGCCTTGCATCTCCTCTTTGTAGTCGCACTTGCCATCTACATGAAGCCTCATCTCAAGCCTTGGTGCAACAAACTGTAGGTGCCAGCCCTGAGCAATCAGCAAAGTTGAACAGCCAAGCTTCAACTAAGGAAATCCACATCCGCCAGTGGTCTTGTAGCGAGGCAGTCTCTCAGGCATCGGCTTTTTGTAGGAGTAGTCCTTTGGCTGCCCAAGCCTCAGTCGGCAGGCTGCAGTGACATAGCTATCGAAGTTTGGCTGCTGCAGCTTTGAACCTGCTATATTCCGCCAACGGCCACAAAACATGAATGCATCTCGCTTAAACATATGAGCCAAATGCGGCTCTTAGACACGAAGCTAAACCACATGTGGGAAATAGTGCCAAACATAGGCTAGCACCAAAATTACAGCCATGTGTTTCATGTTTTAGATGCCTACGACGCGGTTGGTGCTTCTCCAAGTCAGCTGGCTTTGCACATGCTGGGAAGCCCTGCTCAAAGCGGTACAGGCCTGGCTCGATGGAGCACGTAGGAAAGGTCATCGTTACGCCATCGTCAGGCCTCAGGGCCAAAACCGCCTTGCTCCGCAAATTGCAGTTGGTTCAACTGGCGCGCTCTGCTTGGTGCGCATGTGAACAAATCCTGAAGTCATGCTAGGAGATATATGCATTAGCAAGCCTGATCGTACGCCTCAGCAAAGCTGTGCACCCAGCGGCAACTTGTAACCGCTCGGCAGCCTGTCGGACAGAAGCCGGAGCAGAGTTCAGCAGAGTTCTGCCGAGGCCGGACTGTCCCACTTTCGTGCAGCGCACGAGCACCGCTTTGAGGGTATGCAGGCATGAGCTGCACGTGCGGATAGTATAGGGTGGCAGCGATGCTCGGAGCGCAAATGGGACGCAGCCTCCTAGAGATGTACTTATGTTTGAAAATCAGGCTGCCCAGCACACATTGTTAGCCAAGCACTGGTATAATTCCTCGCCAAGCTATGCAGGAATGACCGGCAGTCACACTAATTGGGCTGTCGCTTCCCCGCCTGAAGGCTCCAGGTAGGAGCCCAGTGGGCTCACCTAGCCTAAAGCGCCGAGCGACAGAAGCATGGGCATGAACTTCATTACGGACCCTGTGGTGGACGTGATTTAGGCGGGGTTCACCCCCACCAACCACTCTTGGGGTGGTTCCCCATTAACACTCATGGCCGCATGTTTTTAGCTCAATCCGTCTGCCATCACGCTGTGCTCTGTGCAGCGATTCCCCACGAATGACGCCCGGCGGATGGCCTCTACAAGCAGCCGCCCTGAAGCGAATTCCGCCACTGCAGTGCTAGGAGCAGAAAGCTGCTCGCTCGCGCGGGCAGAGCATCGAATTATCTCTTGAATTTAGCCGTGCTTGGTCAGGCGTGCATGCTGTTACACCCCTTCATGCTGTTAACACCTGCTGAAGTCTGATCTAGACTTTGACCAAGGGACGGAAGAGCTGCCCTGCTGGTGGTTCCAGCAGCTTCACGCAACAATTGAATCAACCTACGTGGAATGCACCTACTACTCCATCGAGTCGGCTGCGCATATTGCAAAGCCAGTGAAAAGGCTTGCCGTTGACCTCTTCACACTCAGCTCGCTGAGGAAAAAACACAGGCCATTCTTCCATCTTGACATGAAGTGTCTGGCTGCAAGGATCCGCTGGTCAAAGCCCTTTGAAGGGATCGATACTCACCTCAGCCCAAACGCAGTCTGCCAACACAAAGCCCACAGTCTGCTTTCCTGAGCCCTTCTTTCCAGGTGGCTGATCTTCTTGTTCAGCGACATCGCACGGGCATCCAAAACCGCTCGTGTCCTGTGGTGACAATGTGCAAGACCACTTCACCATCGAGAAGTGAGAGATTCCATGCCCAGATGCAGCGAGCCAATCCCTTGAAGCAAGGTCCCGCGAACCAATCTAGGGGGACGATTGGACTACGGCCCATCATTCCCCTCTCCGGGGGTCCCGGGGCTCCCCATCTCTCCTGGCCAGGTCTTCGGTGTGATCTGATACTGATCGACTGCGTCGCACCTGCCGGGCTTCTTGGCGCCATTGCTTCCGCTCCTGCAAGCGCCAGCCGCGAGCCGTCTTGAGGGTGCTGTTTGCACTAATTGTGTGCGCCCGAAGGAAATGGCTGCCAGCGGAACAAAAAGAACCAAAACATCCCAAAACCGATTCTATATATAACCGGCCTCTCCCAGAAGAGTTCGCATTACAGAGCGCCTTCCAACCAATGCCACCTGAGGTAACTTTGCAACGCTGCCTGTCCGAACACATATCTGGCACTGATCACTGCATCCCACGATCACCTCTGACCTCGCATCCCAAAGTGGAACGGGTTGTCTTCTTGCTGGACTTCGGGTGCCCCAAAGCCGACAGATGCAAAGCCATCGTGCCTGCTGCCCTTGTAGCAAGCACTTTCTACTCACATTCCGCAACGTGTCAAGCATGTTCAAGCCCAAATAAGTACATTGAACTCATTTTCATGGGAATCTACCATGGATCCCTCCAACTGCCTTTCAACGCCTGCGCCATGCACTATGCGCCATCCGACTCGATCGCTCCTCCTCGAGGTCTGCGTGTTGCTGCCGCAGCTCGCGGCGCCTTCGGCGCAGCAGCTCGTCGGGGTCTTCATCGAGGCCTCGCAAAAATCGGCGCGCGATAGAAGGGACGTGGGGCTCGGGCTTGGTGAATTTTATTTTGAGCACCCTTGGGTGTTCTACTCATTTTTTTCCGTGTTGAACACCCAAGTTGAAGTACAATAGCTACTTTCCCAGCTGAAAGCCGACCTTCTCTGAACATGGCCTTTCAGGAGTGCGTGACTTGAGTCTGTTGGCTTGACACTCAGGTCTGCATGAACAACACGTATGCGCAATACATATGCCATACTCTGAACTTGCCTACCCCATTTCATAGGGGGTTGTGGATGTAAGCAGCTTGCCATTCTTGACACAGCTGTTGATGAGCAGCGCTGGGCAAACTTGGAACAACACGCTCGATGCACGTGCCATATGCTCACCCAAGTGGTCAGGAGCAGGAGGATTCACAGCCATCTTGGGCTCACAGGTTGCAACCTTTGCCAAACACCGGCGGTTTGCCTTGGTGTTGCCTCCCTTGCATGCCCTGCATCATCCAGCCGGTGCTCACGCTCCTCGCTGAGTGCCATTACATTTTTGAGGGCCAACCTTTCTTACTTTAGTGCGTGCCAGGCACTTGAATCCATCCGTGATGGAAAGAACACCGGAAAAGCTAGCAACCCCACATCCCAAACTATGGCCTGCCACCCCAACAACTGGCCTCTAAGTGGCTGGAGTGAGGAGTTCGGGGAATAGGGCGCTTGCCGCTTCTGCCCGCATTGCTGCTTCAGCTGCATTATTTCAGCCTGTGCGGGTCAACAATTCGAGGGCAATGCCGCAACTTCCATGCGCTTGACCCCCCCCAAAAAAAAACAACAACTGCATCTTCATGCCAGCCTGCTGCGCTTTCAGCTGTGCCTGTGCTTGCTTTGCTTGTGCGCTGAGCGAAGCGAGCTCTGAGTGGCACCTCTGCAACTCCGTCTCCAAGCGCTCAACTTCTGAGTCCTTGAAGGACACGTGGCTTTGCAGCCTCTGCACCTCTCGCTGGCTTTCTCGCAATGCGGCCTTGGTCGAGGAATGTGACAGCTGCTCCATGCTAGCGGCGGTCAACGACTCTGCCAGCTGGCGATCCAAGGCTGCCCTCTCTTCGTGCTGTTCCTTCAGCTCCCACTGCAAGCGCTGAATTGTTGCAATCTCTGCTGCGGAACATGCCAGTGAACGAGGCGTGGTTGGAAGCTTGACCACATCTCTGTCGGCATTTGTGATGTCTTTCAAGGGCCTGCTTTGCGACCGCGACAACTTTCCGGCTGGCTTTGTCTTGGCATTCATTTCGGGAGTTGGCATGTTCTCATCACGCGACACAGGGCACTCTTGATAGACTCTAATAGTCTTACGCGTGTCCTGCGGATGGTTTGTGTCATGCTGCGCCGTGGGTTCCAAATCCTTGTCGTCCTTTTCGTGATCTCCAGTGGTGTTGGCTGCCGTGGTGTCAGTCTGCGTGGTCGAGTCCTGCTGAAGCGGCTTTTCGTGGGAGTGCGGCTCTTCCTTGTCTGGGGACCTCTGGCTGGAGTCCTCCGGCTGGCTTTTGCTCAGCTCTCTGCTCTCGAGCTGCTCACGGAGCCGCCTCAACTCAGCCATGTGGTCGTCTGAGCTGCCCCACGGCGACAATGCGGACTTTCCCCTGGCCTTCCTCGATTCGCGGCTGGAGCTGTCATGCGAGTTGGACTGCTCAAGGACAGCAGTCAACGAAGAAATCTCCAGCGACCCGCACTCCTCCTCATGGAAAGGGACTTTTTGTCCCTGGCACAGGGTCTCCTCCCCTTCCTCCAGGTGCGACCATAGGCTGATCTGATCTGCTCCAATGTCATCCTGTGAGCAAATCTCTGCTTTGAGAATGGCACTTAGCCCTGGGGTGGGTGGGCTTTTCGCCTCTTTCACCTCTTTGTCGCTTGGCTTCTTCGGGCTGACGTGTGAAGCCTCCGCCTCAGAGGTCGCTCGGGCTGGCGAAGCTCGGATCGGACTTGGAACAGGCGAGGTGCAAAAGGCATCCTCTAGGAACAGAGCGGCTTTCGGGGACTTCGGCCGCGGTGGTCGCAGCTTTGCAGGGGGAGGCTTGGATGGCCGCTCAGGCACCTTTAGCGTCAAAGCCGGGGCAAGCGATTCGGCTGGAGCTGCTCGGGCAATGCTTGCAGCGATGGCCGTGCCTTCTGAGCCAGCGCTCCTTTCGAGGCCCTCAGCTTCGGCCGGGAGCGGCGTCTCATGTGAGGCCTCCTCCTTTGAGGCGGCCGATGACTCGGTCGTTGCCTTCTTTGCCCGCTCCTTGACGTAGAGCTGCCGGAGCTCTTCATCACACGGATGGTCCCACTGGCTTGCTCCTAGAGATGCTCAATGAGAGACAGAGGAAAGCAAACACGTGCGGTGACAGCCGAGGGCCAGCCTGTTTCAGGGTTGTAGAAGAAGATCTCGCCGTTGGCAGCCTGCAAGCAGCAAGGCAAATAAACCAAGGCTCTAATCATGTATTGCTGCTGCATTTGTACCTACGAGTACCCGTCCACCCCCCTTCCTTGCATGAGGCCCCTCGGAGCTGGTGGGCTGAGTGGACTTGTGGCATCCCTAACGCAAGCCTCGCATGGCCGCCATGGCTTCGGAAGTGGTGTCTTCAAGCCCTTGCGAGCAATCCAGTGTAGATCGGCATCATCTGGGTCCATTCCAAGCCAGTCTGCCTGAGCCATCGGCCATCGGAGCGCGCACTGGCGCGCACCCTAGTCATACTCCTGTAGGCTAGCGAGCTGCATTTGCTTTGGTTTCGCTTAGAGACAATGTCAGCCTTGCAGCATGGCAGCCAAGCAGCATAATCTCGGATCTCCTGCAGGTTGAGGCGTTCGAACATGTCCGACAACACACTCTCTCTCTCTCTCCCCCTCCCCCTTCCACAACAACAGCCACTTAGACAGCCTTTCTCCCTTTGCTGCCTGTGATACTCTGTTCCGCAGGTTATGCCGCAGACTGTGCAAGCCGAACATGATGTCTGAGTCTTTTTGACTGTCCTCCTTGGTGGGCTCATACTTCTCATCCATCTTTTCCTCTAGGATGCTGAAGCTGCTTGGCGGAGCTGGGCTCGGCATGGCTCGAACAGCCTAACCCCTAGCAACAGCAACGCCTTGAGCAACCAAATTGCAGCGGCCACTGCTAGCTGGGAGCGTGCCATGTCACAGCATGCCATTCAACTTCTTGCAGTGATGCAAACTGATGCGAAAATCTCCTACGGCCGGTGTTTCCAACACAAACCAGCCGACTGAGCTGGTGGCTGCAGAGGGCTGATTCTGAAAGGCTCGTCCCTGCCAGCAGAAATGTTTTTCATCAGGCTAGACTCGGCTAGACTCCAACATCCGAATGTCGAAACACACAACATGACTCCATTCTCATCGCCGGTGGCGCACCACATGTCACCAGAGGCTGGCAGGGACGTTGTAATGCCGCCTAAGTGATCTGGCTGAACAGCCTCCGCGCAAACGACACAAAAAGCAGCCCTCACGCCAGCTAGCTTTGTCCTGAAAGAGGTCTGAGGCACAAACGCTGCATCCCAAGAAGTCTTGGAGCTGCCCTGGCGTAGGGCGGGGCAAAGCGCATAAATAAACAGAATGGAACTGCCACCTGGCACATGTGTGTGAGGCTTTGGCTGAAAGCTATGAAAGCTACAAGGGGTTCTTACTTCAAGAAAGGGGCAGGGTGGTTTGCGAAGTTCGGGCGAGGTTGATGCTGCAGGTGCTGGTCATGGTGGGGCTGTTTTGGGTGCTGCTCAAGGTGCTGTTTGTGTGCTTCAGTGCTTCAGGTGCTGTGGTGGTTTCTGGGCGGTGCTTGTTTGCGATGCAGCCTGGATGCTGTGGGTGCAGGGGTCAGTGAGTTGGAGCTTCTTGTGGTGCTTGGTGTGCTCATGCGGCGGCGATTGCTGGCGGCGGTGTGGCCGTTCCCGGCGGTGCTTGTTTCGCGACGCAGCCGGGGTGCTGGGCAGCGTGCTTGTATTTTTGACGTGCACAAAGGTGGTGCTTGTTTGGGGAGTGCTGGTCAGGTTGCTGGTCAGGGTGCTGCTCAGGGTACTGTTTGGTGTGGGTCGTGGTTGCTGGCGGTGCTTGTTTGGCGATGCAGACAAGTTTTGGGTGCGCTGGTTATGGTCAGGGTGCTGTTTGAGCGCTGCTCAAGGTCCTGGTTTTGATTGCTCAGTTGCTAGTGAGTCAGGGTGCTGGTCAGGGTACTGGTGCTGGTCAGGGTGGGTGGTTGCTGGCGAGGCTTTGTTGGCGTTGCAGTGAGGATGCTGGTCAGGGTGCTGTTGCTATGCTGGTGTAATTTGACGCCGTGGGCATCAAAACACTAAGGAGGCGCAAGCAAGCCAAACGACCAACAAACAAACCTGCCTCTCATCTGAGACTTCCGCATGCTCCGCAGCTGGGTTTGCCAAACCTAGGGCAATGCAAACCACCACAACGCCACTAGGCCGTTGCATCCACCCATCAGCCGTCTGCGCAAACGGCACCACCCAGCGAACGCTTTGCTCGACCCTTTCTCCTGGCGGCCTGCATCTCAGATCCATTCTGCCAACTGTCTTGGCCTCCCGCATGTCTAAGATGAAGACATCGCCCCTTTCTTTGGGACTCGGAAAATGGGCTCGCAGTTGGAGCGCCTTCAAGCTTCTGGGGTCTCCTCCGCCGCTGCCTCTGCTGCATCTGCCGGTTCAGCCTCGTCAGCATCGTCCGTGCGCAGCCAAATGATCTGCTTGGTGGGCGGGGATCCCTGCCCTGGGTTCCACTCCACACGCTCCACCCTCTCCCCAGCAGGCGGCAGCGCGCTGAAGTTCATGAAATGCCAAAACCTGCGAGCGTCCCAGCAGAGCTCCCCGCCGTAGACGCTCAAGCGGTTTCGAAATACGCGGGTACTCTGACCCGACACTGAGCAAATCCCACCTTCGACCAGGTAGCTTATATTTGGATCCTCCTGGGCAGGGCAAACTATCATGACTCAAGTGCCTCAAGATGCCTCAAGTATGAAATGTTTAATAGCTGAGTGCTGGTGTCTCTTAGCCATCTGAAAGCAAGCCCAGCTTCCTGGCCCCCCCCATGAGAGCAAAACCCTCTCCTCATCCATCCACTTGCCCTGAACTCGGTCTAAAAGGTCCTTCTCGAACCGCTGCTGCGCAGATTTCTGCGCGTCATTGATGGCGGCCCGATCACGTTGCTGCGCGCGGCGCTGCGCCATGAGGATTTGCCGCCGCGGGTCATCCTCTGCGAACTTGCTTTTACCTCAGAGTACGGTCAACGACACAGTCTTACCAGGTCTTACCTGTTCCTGCAAGTTCTTCCCGAATGGTCTCGTCTTGCCCACAAAGGTGTCCAAGAACTTTTGCTCAACCGTAAATCTTGTCTTGATCGTTTAAACCACCGTCTGACGCAATGCATGAGTCCACCCCCCAACTCAGTCAAGCTGCCTTTGCCTTTTCCTTTGCCCCGGCCTTTCCCTTTGAAGCTTGGATTGAAGCTTGGAGCCCATGCGCCGGCTTGGTAGGCTGGCTGCATACCCGAGTATCCCGGGTAGCCCTTGGCCGTGGCCATGGCCATCTGCGTCGGGTCACCCATTGATGGATAAAAGGCCTGGCCTGCTTGGCTGGGCCCAAACTGCGAGCAGAGAGTGACGAGCGCATGACAAACTGTCCAAACTTGCCACTGCTCAAGCTTTCCAGCTCCGTACTTGGCTGGGGTCGTGGCTCAGCAGAGCGTGGATTGGCGTGCGCAAGAAATAGGTACCTCGCCCCCCGCCCAAGTGGCACGCGCGCCCGCGCCCACACACCCAAACACATAATTACACATAGAGAGAGAGGCAAAGACCCGCTCACATGCACAGACCCAGACTCACGCATAGAGAGACGCAGAGAACAGAGAGGCATACACACACAAACAGAGTGTCACACAAGAAAAGACACCCAAACATACACACGCACACATAGAAAGAGAGAGAGAGAGAGAGAGACAGAGAGAGAGAGAGAGCCACGACCCGCTCACATGAAGAAAGAGTCGACATAGAAAGGCTGTGACTCAGAATAACCCCCTTGAAAGAATGCAACATGCATTTTGTTGGACGGTGATGCTGACTTGTGCGCTTGTGCACACATACCCCCTCTTGAGTAGTGAAAGGCCCTTACACGTTCTCAAGCCCAAACCGCATCTCTCAATTGTCCGCAATGCATGCCATATATTCCGCAAATGTGCAATCAATCTCAGCACCTACATGAGTCCATCGCAGCGACTTGTCTAAGATGGACTTACATGGTCCCCGAATTTGCTGAAAGTTGAAGCCATGCTAAGCCCCACGAAGCAATGGACCAACGTGCAGCAAGTGGACCGACTACACTTGAACTCTCGCCCCAGCAACTCGAAACGAGCCAACTGGCAAGGCGCCTTACCTGCATCCAACACATGGCAAATCGGGAGCGCGGCACGTGGCTCTGGAGGCCTCGGATCTGCTTTGGAAAGCTCTGTTGTTGGATGTGGCAAGTGCCAAACAAACCATCGCCATTGATGTTACCTTGGAGCCGGGCATTGGGCTTTCAGCTGGCTTTTGCGCTTCTGCTTCCAGTGGGGCAGGGCCTTGGCAAAGAGGGCAAGAACATCTCGAAATGAGAGAAGTGCTGCCAAAAAGTTCCTAACTGTGCTACAAAATGCACCAAACATGTGATGGACGCCCTTTGATGAAGGCTGGTTGCTCAAATGGGACACCAAACGTGATTGACTGCAGGGCGCGAATAGGGGATGGTGCCACACCAAGCACATCCCCCCATTCGAGGCTATGCTAGGCCATGCTATGGCTATGCTTGGAGTTCATGTGCAGCACCCCACGCCATCAAGCTGCTTACCGAAGCTACATTTTGATAGCCAGTAGCAGTGAACTTAAGTGGGCGCGCAAACTCAGCTTCGACTAGAAGGATTGCCTTACAGCAACACGCAGCTCACTGATAAACATAGGTAGAGAAGAAGCACAATGTCTCGGGGCCGAGCTTGTAGTGTCCCATGCCTTGAAGCAAGTGCCAACATCATACAGAATTCGGGTGATTTTTCAGGCTGACAAGCGCACATGACGCCATGACCCTCAGTTCATCTCAGGCCAAATCGGCGTTGAATGTGGAGTCAAGCGCACTTGTCAACACCTAGGTTCTTGCAGGCATGCTTGACCCAAAGCATGCCATGAAGAAGGAGCACACTCCCCTGAACCTCCACGTGCGTGGCTTGTTTGTTGTAGGTCTTACCGCTTGGCCAAAGGTGACGGTGAAGACAATGCAGCAAGCAACTGGTAGACACAATCGCCACCGCCAGCAAATCATCAGGGCCACAGCAGTCGCTTCGGTGGGTACAGGGCCGGGAGCAGCACTGGGAGCAGCACCTTGTTTATGCCAAAGCAGCCTTGACCCTCAACCACTCTTCTGATTAGGAACTTCCTGGATCGGTTAGCATTTCCCATCGTCTCCTTACCTTTCTGCCACATGCTTGTTGCCCTGGAAGCGGATGACAGCCTGCTCTTGGGCCACGGCCCAAAGTCGCAATACCCTCGCAGGGAGACAGAGTGACACATTCACAGCTTTCCAGTGCTTCCAGCTTGATCCAAGATGGGCTGAGCTTGTGGCCCAACCAGTCACTTTAAGGACACTAGTGCCTTCCCATTGCCATCGATGCCATGGTCTTGTCCACTTGCCTCCTCCAGCAGCTGCAAGCGAAGCAGGTGTCCACCTCGTGGAATGCATTCCTCAGCGGGGCTTTGGGCTTGCCGAGCTTCGCTTTCCGCATCTTGGAGGCCCTGCTGCCAGCGTGATCGCCTCGAAGTCCGCTTCCAGCTCTTCCAGTGACACCTCAAGAGGTATCAAAGAAAGGCTCGCAGCCTTTGAGTCGCAACTCGAGCCCCCATGGCGCCCCGACATAAATGAGCTCCTCATAGCGAACATCTGGCACCGGCCTTGCCGCTAACTTGCTGAGCCTTAGCCAAACTTGCACCCGATTTGCGAATCGCTCGGCCTTTCACATTTGCCAGTGCCGTCTCTGACTGCACCTTGCGGCCTCTAAGGCTTCGACCGAAGATGACCCCCGGTAACATTCTGCCCATCACGCAGCACAACCTGCGTACAAAAGCCACTGCCCACCGGCAGCAGGTGTTCCACATAGCAAACACACGGCCAAACCAGCAACACACAAACAAATGTGGCTTGCAGTGCCTGACCATTGATCACTTCCCACTTTCCCGCCGCTTCAACCTCAGAAATCGCCAAACGTCCTCAACCCGGATTAGCGATGGGTGCCTCACCTCTGCTGCTGGTTTTCCCTGCCTTTTCGGCTGAGAACCGGTCACTGCGGGAGCCATCTGGAGAAACAGCCTGCACTGGCCGGCAATTGCGCAGTCATTAAAGAAGGCTGAGGAACATGACGATCAAACTAACAGGAACACGAGACATGTTTCTGTCACACTTTAGCAGCTCTCAACAGAGCTTGACGTGACTGTTGGCTCCAGCAATGCCAATCTATCATTGTTATTCGGCTTGAGTCACCTCTCAGTCGAACACAAGTCCTCTCTGATGTTCTTTAAACGCCAATCCGGCCCGTGGAAGCACGTGCTGGCTTTGGCAAGCTGCGTGCGTCAGCATCACTTGCACCAACAGAAAATCTCTCTCTCTCTCTCTCTCCGGCTCTCTCAGCTCTCCTTACTGCGCCAGAACCAGGCCCCAGGCACAGTAAGCAAACCTGCCATCGCTAAAAAGGGCCATGCAGCGAGCACCAAAGAGAGGCCTCGGGCAATTGGGCCAGGCGGAAGGGTGGACATAACTGGGTTGCTCCGGCAGAGGGTAACATAAGCTGAGGCCCACACTCTTCCACAGGCTTGTCACTCTCCTGTGGTTGTATCGCTGGGCACAGATCGAATAACTTCAAAGGCGCCCAAGGCCTCAACACACACACACACACACATGCCTGCCTGGCTGTCACCAATGCGCACCAGTTTGTGGCGCTGCACGAAGACACCGCACCGCAGCTTCACATCCCTGACATGCGCCATCTGCAAAGGCTAGACTGTAATAGACTTTATGCTCTGTTTTTGCAAATGCTGCATGTCGATAAAGGCCCTTGCCTGGATGCCAAGCTGATTTCACGCTCTGCCTGCCAGGGTGGCAGTTAGTGACTGCAACACCCTCCACGTAGCCATCGCAGCGCGCCTGCACTGGGCCAGCAGACAGCGCCCAGCATTTCTGTAGCGGGGTTCCAGAGATCAGCACCTCAAGCATGCAGGCAGTTCGGAACATGGTTGCCCAGTTCATCCGTATTGAGTCCTTATGCCAAAGAAAGCTGTGGCCCCTGCACCGCAAAGGTGACCGAAGTCAGCGGCCAAAACCTTGGCAACGGCTGAGCAAGCGCAAGCGAAAGCAAGCGGTCAAGCCTGCCCCAATGCGACTGTCTGTCATTCTCGTTCCGTGCGCCTCCGGCACACAAAAACCTGAGCCTTTCGCAACTGTCATTAGGTCCCCCTCGCGCAAACGAGCAGCCTGACAAATGCAGTCACACAGCTGGCTTATGACAGGTGGCATTGGGCCAAGGGCCGATGATGACTTATCCCATCAATGCGGGCAAATATGTGACAAGCATCTGATTTATCACCTCCCTGGCAGAGCATTCCGCAGATCGCAGCTATGCTATTCACTGCTGCTATCGTACCCAAGAGACATGTTCAGAGTCATGGCGCAGCTGAACCACCAGCACCACTTCTGGATGTGGTGTCTCAGTATGTCTCAGTGTCCGAAACGTGATGAATCCAGCCAATCACGCCACGATGAAGCTCGCGATTATTTTCGCGCAGTGGCCGGCTTGTCTGCCATCACGAAGAGTCGATGCGTAAAGGCCTGAGCGGCTCAG